ATCAAAATCAATCGGGAGGAAGGAAGACCAGAAACGGTGCAGAATCGGTGAAGTAGAATTCTCCCTCAAGAGAGCTGAATAGCACCTCTTGGAGGAGAAAACAAAATCCTGCCAAGGGAGTTAGCTAATCCCCTTGCATTCACAGTTAGAAGCTTGAAGAGGCTCAGAAAAAAGACGCACACTTGAAAACAAAACACTTGGGAGCTTTCTTAGTTCTACTCTTCCCTTTCTTAGAGCGTTTCGGCGAGGAATCCGAAGATTTCCTCTTTAAGTCCATCACAGTTTCCATGTCGGATTCCTGAGACTCGGGCAGAAGAGGAGCAGATGAAGAGGCAGGCGGATCAGGCGACGAAGAACGAGGTTTTCCAGATACAAGAGCAGGCGAAGTTGGTTTTCGGGTACAAACAGCAAGGGAATCAGAAAGAGAAGAAAGACGGGCAGGCAATCGACGGGGAGGCGGTTTCGGCAGGGCTTCAGAAGGAATTAAAAGGCCTTGAGAGTCTAGAATATTAGGGGACGGAGAATCGTCAGAAGAAGAAGGCAAGAGTGTAGCGGTAGAAGGCGGGTTGACAGCAGCTGGAACAGATGTTGGTTCTTCCATGGTTTCGTTGGATGCGGGTGGGACAGAGACGAGCGACGCGTAAACTTCGTCCCGGCCGTACTCACTCATGCCGTCGTCTGATGATTCGATAGCCACATCGCTGTTCTCATCTGTAGGAGTGCCCCTGGTGCACGGAAAAACCCAGGAATAATCGCAGCCGATGCCGCGATGTCCTTCCTCTTTACATATGCAGCAGAGAGTCGGCAAATTACAGTCTCGGGCTTCATGGCCGATGTTTTCACAATTAAAGCATATTTTATTCGGGCATACATTGCTGAAGTGGCCAGGAAGGTTGCACTTTCGGCTAGTAGGAATTTGGCCGGTGTATTTAATATAGATTTGATATTTGCCGAACCGTAAATAATTGGGAATGGGTTTAAATACGCGAACGCGATAGTGTCGCAACCCGTTATAGATATTTGGTGCGAGGGAATGTTTTCCCCGTCGATAATGGAGGACCTCGCAAAACAGAGCTAGGCGTTTGATGATTGCGAGGTCCGAGAGCTTGAAAGGCGCATCATAGATGGTTAAAAAAGTCAGGAGTTTATCGATATCTTGAAGGGCGTAATTTTCCGAATTAACATGAAGAGAATTTAAGCGGAGGAATTTTTCTTTGGCTGCAATAGATTTGAAGGTGACGACCACTTCACCATTTAATTTCCGTTGGAGACAATGAATCTCGGTGTGGTCGATATCAGCATTAACCAAAGCATCAAAAACTGACCTTGCAGTTGTTGTTCTGCTCGGCGTAAAAAAGGCACTTTTAGGCCGTTCTGGCATCGAATTCTGGTTGGACGCTGGCGCTGTACGACGCGGTCGTTCCCCAAACGAAACTGTGCGTGCTGCACGCGACGCATAACTTTCACCATCCACAATACTCCTATCCTCATTCTCACACGTATTTCCATCATCCTCATTCTCACACGTATTTCCATCATCGGTCATCTCATTATCTCCAGCATTCTCCTCAAGCATCTCATTAACAATCGATCCAGGCGTTTCACAATTTCCATCATCCATCTCTTCACTAGTAACTCTATTGCTCATGATCAAAGTAAAAAAGGACTAACAAAAAATCGCACTGAGAAGAGACCTCGGTGCCATTTAAATCGTAAACTGAAGAGATGTGAGATCTCTGAGCCTTGATTCTTTGCAAATTAAAGAAGTAACGGCTGGGCTGTTCGCCTTCTTCCAACCATTGCGCGCGGCTTCGGATCATGATCCCCTCGATTTCTTTAACGCGAAGGGCTTTCAACGGGCTTTCCGTGTCAGAAATCAAAACGGAGACGGTGTCGTCTCCACCAACTAAACGTTGAGGGAGACGAATTAACTTATTCGTTAAATATACTTGCTTTTTACGCAACCGCTTCCGTTTATTACGCGAAAAGGCGATCGATTCCTCTTTGATGGACAGTTTCAAGAACTCCCACCAATCCTGAAAACTCGCGAAAGAGGGCAAAAAACGTAGATGACAATCAATCAATTTTTCTATAGTGGTACAAAAGTCCTTATCTTTCAGAAGGGAATTATTAAAATTCCACACACCCGGGCCGCGTTTGACCCCAGTGGGAATGTCAAAAATGAAGAAAACAAAATCGTGATCGGAAATTGGACAAGGTGAGATGTTGCACTCCACGCCGGGTGACAACAACTCCCTTGAAACCAAAAACTTGTCAAGTCTACTCCCGATAGACAAGGACGAATTGAACCACGTAAATTCCCTTGAGCCGGGATGCAAATTGCGCCAAACGTCAACAAGAGCAAAATCATTTTTCAAAGACTCGTATTCTTTGTGAATAGAAATGTTTCCACCAAATTTATCGAGAACATTATCGTAGCAATTAAAGTCCCCTCCGATGATGATTGCATCGGAAGGAATAAAAAATTCGTGGAGAGAATCAAAGAGAATCTTTCGCTCCGCAAGATTAGTGGGAGCGTAAATATTAACTAAATTAACATCTACACCGTTGCTCCTGATCAAAATACTGACAATACGACCGTGTGAGTCTTTTTTCCAAGAGACAATCTCATCTGAACATTTTGACGAAATTAAAGTGACCACACCACCCTGTCTACCAGAGGCTGGTGACCAAAAACAACGGCCCAGCCATCTGCGAGACAGGGATTTAATAGTGGATTCAGAACTGACTAGAGTTTCTTGAACAAAACAAACATCACAGTTGGAAGATTCGATCGAATCGAAAAAAAAATTATGAGTAAGGGGATTAGCAAAGCCCCTTGCATTAACAGTTAAAAGCTTAAAAGGAAAACTCTTGGAAAAAAAGACTCACGCATAAAAACTAAACTCACTTATGAGCAGGTTTTTTCTTTCCCTTCTTTGTGCGTTTCGGGGACGCGTCCGCCAATTTCCTCTTTAAATCCATGGTGACATCCATGCCATTTTCCAAGGAGTCGGGCGGCGATGAAGGGGGATCAACAACAGGTTCAGAGGGAACAGAAGGCGTTGGTTTTGCAGAAAGAGGTGAAGAAGAACGTCTAGAAGCGGCTGAAAGAGAGTCAGAAAGAAGAGCAGGAATACGATGTCGTGTCGGGCCGGGCACAGCTTGGACAGATTTTACAAGGCCATCAGTATTAAGAATCGAAGAATCGGGAGAAGAAACGCTAGAGTCATCATCAGGAGGAGAAGAAGTATCATCGACAGGCACATCAGCGGGGGAAGGAGTTTCAGAAATTAGAGGAGAAGCGGGAAGTAGATTATCTGCACCGCGACCATAAGAGCAATCGCTCAATCCATCATCGTCGTCAGATTCGACCGCGACATCGTCCTGCTCGTCGGTTGGAGAAACCGTAGAACAGACCCAGGAGTATGTACAATTGATCCCCAGATGACCTTCCTCCTTACATATACAACACAGAACAGGACAAGGACAACCATGGGCCTCGTGGCCGAGACCCTCACAATTGAAACACACACGGTTAGGACAAACATTACTAAAGTGACCGGCACGATTACACTTACGACATGTAGGGACTTGACCACTATGTTTTACAAACACCTGAAACTTACCAAACCGGAGGAAGCTGGGGATCGGTTTCGAAATCCTTACGCGGTAATGCCAGAGACCATTATAAATATTTGGGGCCAGCGAATGCTTGCCCCGACGATAGTGAAGGACCTCGCAATACGGTGAAAGTCGCTTGATGATGGCTAGATCCGAAAGCTCGAAAGGAGCATCATAGATGGTAAGAAAGGTTAAAGGCTTGTCTACGTCCTGCAGAGCAAAATGCTCGGCATCCACCCGGAGCGAGTTGAGGCGTAGAAACTTCTCTTTCGCCGAAATAGACTTAAAAGTAACAGTGACCTCTCCGTTCAACTTTCTCTGTAGGCATGCGATTTCCGCCGGGTCAATTTCAGCTTGCTCCAGGGCTTCAAAAACGGACTTCACCGATGTATTTTTACTTGGCATAAAAAACGCTGTTCGTGGCCGCTGTGGCATCACATTTTCCGAGTATCGAGCTCTTTCCAGTCGCAGTGGGTATTCATACGACACAGTTGTGGCCGCCCGCGACGCATACGACTCGCCGTTGACAACATGGCGGTCTTCACTATTTCCCATATCATCTGAACTCTCACGCATCTCATTATCCAAATCCGTCACAGGCATCTCATTGACAATCGTACCAGGTGTTCCACTATTTCCAACATCCATCTCTTGATTACTAACTTTATCACTCATGAAGAGAAAATAAGACTAAAACAAAATCGCACTGGGCACAAATAAATAAAACACTTACTTGTGTGCCTGACTTAGCCAAAAGGCCGAGAAGCGATGCCGAAGCATGCCCTGGGTGAGCACTCTGGGCAATGGGGCAGAAAAAGAACAAATGCTCCAAAGACTCCACAGGACACCCACAAAAACAAGAAGGGGGAACTGGCAATCCAAAAGAAACGAGACGCTGTGCGGTGTATAAGACACCGTGCGCAATCTTCCAACATAGATCGGTGACTTGACGATCGAGATCAAAAAAG